CTAATGTGTGTTCAACTTATCGTGATTGTTGCATTGGCGTCCGGCAATGCAGCCGGGCGCGAAGCCAAGTAACATACTAGGAATACTCTTGAATTTGCGTATACATATGCTCAGGCTTCTTGCTATTTACTACTGCATAGATGTCTAGGTTTAGTTATATCGTGAAGCAGGACATGAGAGCCAATGGAATTACACAGAATGATATTAAAGACCATGCAAAGTGGAGGAGGCTTAGCAGGAAGGCAGACCCCGGCAATAGCCGGGATTAATAGAGCCAGGCAGAAGAAGATGTCTAGGTTTAGTTAATGAAATTGAAAAAGACAAGTAAATCATTGGATCTTCGTTAAAAATAAGCTCTACTTAAAAAAAAGATAAATTTAAATCTGTCGGTAAGAAGTTTCCTACTTCAAAAGCGCAAAAAGCATAGTAACAAAAAAATTGTAGAAAGTACAAAATTTACTATCTACAACCTCCCTTGCTTTCTATCACAAAACATTTAGCAATTTTTAAGTCCTACGACTTAAGTATTAATTATACAACAATATATAGGTAATATTGATGAAATTATTTCTTAAATGCACTTTAATTCTAATCTATATCATTAAAATTCTAAAGTATAACTATAAAGAAAGTTATCGTAATAGGAGTAATTTCATTATTTCGCTTTACTTATTTCTTAGCTATTTTAGATTCTTATTTACATTTTCAAGATTGGGTGGATTTCTACAATTTCGCGTCGTAATCCGATAAATCCGCCGGCTTTTACAATTTAACAAGATTTCATGGAATATTACTCGAAAATAACATGAATGGTTAATCGTAGGATTAAAAAAAATGCGTTTGAGTTTTTATTCTTTATTGTATTATAATTTAAAAGTGTTACATTATTTTGTCTCTGTTAGTCAGAGGAACTATACTTTCCATACCTAATATTATAAATGTGAAAGTGTGTTTGTTTGTGTGTTTGTTTGTCTTTCTTTCACGTCGAAACGGAGTGACGGATTGGCGTGATTTTTTAAGTATTTTCAAACGTATTGTTATACTCGTAGTACAACCCAAAAAAATATTTATGATCAGAATTACGTGATAATTAATGCTCTTCAATACAATTAAATAGATACGTGTTTTAGCATCTTTCGAAATTCATACTATAAGGGGGTAAAATAGGGGATCAAAGTCTATATGAAACCTACTTTTTATAGAGATTTTTTTGTAGCTTTAGCGCTTTTATTTCTACATATAAAGTGAGGTTTAGTATGTATGAATGAAAAGTGCTTTCTAGTTTAGTAACTTTTAATAAGCAGATACATGTAACTATTTTTTCAAAAATAATGTTATAAATAGAAAAATTTCATTTTAAAGCACATGTAAATACGTGTCCAATTTTTCTCTGCAAATCAATACAAATACAATGTACGTAAAATATAGCATCTTAGCAAAATACCTAGTTATGGTGATAAACTTACCAAAAACATATAGATAAGTCATCCCCTTAACATACGCTTAAAACTTTCAAATCCATAGTCAATTACTCACGAGTTCATAAACTTCTCTTCAGAACAAAAAATCATAACACCAACACGTCATCTGGAACTACTTACTTACTTACTTTACTAGATTCATCTAGGTTTCACCATCTTAGCCTCCATCATGCACAGCTTCAAAACTTCATTAATTCCATCCTTGAATTTCGGCGCTATACATTGCCTCTTTCCTACAAGAAATGATGAATGAACTTATTTGTTAAGTCCCAATGGATTTTCAATAGAAAAAGAGTCGTATATATTGAAATATACAGTAATATTCCTAGTGCAAGCAGACTTGTACCGTCAGCTGTAACTCATACATATCGGAAAGTTCTCTGTGGTCATTTGGTTGTCAAATTTGTGCTAATGACGAGGAACTGTAGACGGTTCTGAATTTCAATGTACTTTTATCTCGCTTCCAGTAGTTTCCTCTTTGAAATATGTTTTAGAGTGTAGTAAAATATTTTTGACAAACTTATTTGTAACAGGATTTTTTGTACGGTACATATATTTAATAATGTCTTTTGTATCATGAACCTTGTTGGTTCAGTGGTCAGCATGTAATGTGTATGACTGCAGGTCGAGATTGGAGTACCGGTTATGGTAATAATAGTAATAATAATAGTTACTAATTTTTCTGTCAGGAAAACTCGATAGCAATCTGGAGTTGGAAAGACTTTTTTTGTGTTATATTTTAAATATATTTTATATTTTAAAATTTATATATTGTCGAACGTATAAAAATGTTGCGAGATATATATATTTAAATGTTATCTTCCGTAAAGGCTTTTGTGACAAAAAATTAAAAAAAAATGTTTATATTTAATTTCTTTGATGTCTTTGTCTTTTGTCTGTTCTTTGATGTTTGGTGATTTGTTAAGAATCTTAAACAGAAATTTGCCCTCTTTCATCTGATTATAATTAATTATGTATTATTTTACACAAAACCATCTACCTTAAAGTGCCTAATTAATGTGTAGCTGACGTAATTTATCAAAATCTGAAACTAGAACACTTAAAACAGTCTCATTTTGCATATCATTATCCTGATAAGTTATGATATAGTTACCAAAGTTACTACTTGTGTCTTTCCATTCTAGCTTTTTTGAATTTCTAAAAATAGGCTAAGGTATAAATTGTTAATAAAAATATTTTTTGATGATTCTTGCGGAAATTAAACATGACAAATATCTGATCGGTGTACTTTACATTATCAGAAATCGGAAAAAATCCAGACAAAATTGTTCCCCACCAGTAGACATTATATTTAGAATTTTGAGACTCTTTAATTTAATATAACATCACGCTCTGTAACATTCTAAGTCTTAATCGGTTTCATTCCAGCTATAAAAATTCCATCTTGTATATCTGCTGAATTGACTACACAATCGTTTTGTAACTCATAATGAACGTAATGAATGGATTCATGTTACATGGATTTCAACATTTCTTATTTGATAATTATTTTAAAGAGATATGTAAAGTTTTTTGTTTAAATCTAGTTTTATACTTAAAATATTTCTATCAAAGTCGAAACCAACAAACTGTGTATATACAATTTTCATCGATACAAATAAAAGAATATTCTTAATTTTTTCCTAGCTAATTTCCATATCCAACAACTTTAACCAGTTAAGCATATCAAGAAATAATGCTTGTACATATTATTACCTCCATTTCATTTTATCTCTAAAATGTATGCATGAATTCATTTTGGTTCAGTGATATACACCCCAATCTTTTTTAATTTCATTTAATTTTTAATTTAATATAAAAACTACATTTTACTTCCCAGGTTCGTTCGTTTTAATTTTTTTGAGCTGAACCCTAATACTCTTTCTAAAATTATATTAGCCTAAGTTACTCCTTATAATATCAGCTATCTGCCAATGAAAGTCCCATCAAAATCAGTCCAGCCATTTCGGAGATTAACAGACATAAATAGACAGGCAAACAAAAATTAAAAAAAAATCGCTAACATGGATTGCACTAATAAGAAAATTATGTTCAACCATCAAAAAGGACAAAATTAAAATGAAGAGATTATAAAATAATATCACTTCTTGGGCCACTACTGGGACAAACACATAAATATTTAGTGCGATACATAGATTTGTCTTGTGTTATAGAAATAAACGCAACGAGAAAAAAAACTATGTAAAAATATCTAAAACACCTTTTTTTAACTTATTCCTGCTTATGATTTCCTGCGGTATATGTGACGTAGTAAATTTCAAAAATGAATTTCAAACTATAAATTATTAATCCATCAAATCAAGAGATTTTATTACTTTTATGTTCAAGAAAAGGTTTTTGTTCATCTTTTTAATATAGTTTAGCCTAGCTTTTAAATATATATATATATATATATATATATATATATATATATATATATATACATATATATATATATACATATATATATATATACATATATATATATATACATATATATATATATATGTATTCAGCCCTTCTTAACGTCCCACTGCTGAGCACGGGCCTCCCTTCTATATGAGGGGGATCAGGCCATTGTCCACCACGCTGGCCAAGTGCGGGTTGGCGGACTTCACATGTCTTTCGAAAACTTGCTAGGATCTCTCAGACATGCAAGTTTCCTCACGATGTTTTCCTTCACCGTAAGGCAAGTGGTAATCATGTTGAAGATGATTCGCACATGAAAATATCAGAGGTGCGAGACCCGGGATTTGAACCCGCTTCACTCGGTTATCCAAGCGAGCGCGTCACCACTGGGCTACATAATATATATATATATATATATATATATATATATATATATATATATATATATATATATATATATATATATTAGGGTGTTTTTTTTTCTTCGCTCTCATCGTATAGATTTTAACAAAAAAAATCTTTTTAACAATTCGCAAATTGTTTAAATTCTTATGGTAAATTTCATAAAACTTTCGGGTCTTTCACACCCCACCTCATATGAAATAGGAAGTAAAGTCACCGAGTACACGGGGGTTAAAATATGTAACTTTTTCAAGTTTTACCTAAATTATCTTTTCTTGAACATTAAATATTCAATTACTGCAAATTATATATTCGTCTACCTTACAATCATTGATAAGTATATTAATATAAGTATATCCGACTTTATACTTTTACTCAGTGAGCCTTCAGACAGGCGACATAATAAACGCCGAAGTAATATACAAAACTAGAAGTAAGTAGCAACATATGTAAATGTAATAATACATATAATTATGTGTTATTGGGTAATTCAATAATCTTGTATTATTAAAAATTTTATGCCATAAATATGCAAAAAAAGCAATTGTAATTCAAATTCGAAAGAAAGATATTATTTATAATAGGTATAAAGTGTTAATTAAGTATTTTAATTTCTTTATTTATTCGTGTTTTTTTTGTTATTGAATATATGTATATAAGACTCTTTTCATTATTTTGTGCCTACAAGGGGAAATAATTTCGCAGAAAATGACAAATGTAAATTCAATCAATGGTCAAGTGTTGGTCTTAAATGGTAACACCCCCGAAGACGTCGCTAAGGCACTAATAAAAGGCGGTCGTCAAAAGGAACCGTTTTATATATTCGACTTGGACGAAGCTTTCCGCCGCATCGAACACTTTCAGAAAATGATGCCTAGAGTGCAAATATTTTATGGTAATATTTTTTTGTTATATGTTTCTTCTTAGTTCTTACCTCTTGAAACACAACGACTTAATACAAAGTAACGAAAAGATAGTTTTATTTCAAATGTCAAATATTCGCGTAAATCTTAGAAAGTGTTGAGCCCTAAACTATTAAATTAGCGTTTTAATCATTTTCATATTATAAGTGTATAAACAAACATACATGCTATTTTTAAAAAGTAAAGTTATCGTATTTACCTCTATTAAATCCGATATATTGCCAAAATAAAATGTACAGCTTCGAATCTTTTTTATAATTTCATTACATGTTTCCTACGTGCAATTGTAAAACAATATTCTATTCTATCTATTATTATTATTTTTTTTTAATTTTCTTATACTTTTATGACAGATTCTTATTACGCTATGAATATAAAATTATTTCAGCTATAAAATCAAATGACAGTGATAAGATGATAAAACTGGCAGCTGCGCTAGGACTTGGCTTCGACTGCGCCTCTCCGGGGGAAATTAACAAAATACTGAAATTAAATGTATCTCCACAGTAAGAAATTATAATAATTTGCATTTTACATAAAACAGAAATCACTCTTATATGTTGCTTTTGCACAAAACAGTTCATAAGATATCTCTTTAATATATATTTTTATTTATGAACCGACTGAAATTAAACTAATACTACATGTTAAGTGAAGCTTAGCACAATACGTTAGTGAAAACCACACCCAAATCGGTTAATCCGTTTCTGATAGTAACGCGCACAAACGCACAGACAAACAGATAAAAATTCGAAAAATTATTTTTTTGGGTTCTGTCACTTCTATTGCGCTAACAAAGACCCAAAGAATAATAGTGTTTCATAAATATCTTCGATGTACAGACAGCGATCAGTTACATTTTTACCTGACTGCGCGACGCAAAGGAGGGTAATATGTTTATCAACCTATGTATGTATGTGGGTTTGTACCTTTGTGGTACTATTTAGACCAAACGCGTGGGCTGATTTTGATAAATGAATGTCAAAGAAAGCATAAAAATTTGGACATATCAAAATGGCCGATTTTGGAAGCCATAATGTCAAAAAGAAAAAATATGAAAATCGATGAATTATATCAAGTTTTACCGTTGAACAGGTAATTAAAAATCATTTTTAGGTTTCTTTCATCATTTTTCATTTTAAATTTAAACAGTTTAGGATATTGAATGATTTAAAGTTGGTTAACAACCGTTCTCGCTAATTTTCCTACTTAAAAATACTTAAATAAAAAAATATATTATAAAAATAAAAAACCCGACTTCATAAAAGCTAACTAAAAAGATGAAAACAAGTTCACGAAGGAATAAAGTAGCAGTCAGAGACATCTTTTTAGTTGGTTTTTATGAAGTCGGCTTTTTTTTATTTTTATAATATATATTTTTATTATTATATATATTATATTTGGTTAGAAACACAATCTATGTTTATTGGCTTCATTGAATATTTAAGTTTTTTAATAACAAGCTTATAATGAAACTTATTACAGGAGCATCATATTTGCCATACCAACCAAGACTACGGAATGGATGACATATGCTCGAGAAGTTGGAGTTCGTCATACAACATTCGACACTTCATACGAATTGAAGAAAATTAAACAATATTGGCCAAATGCAAGGTAATCGAAACTAATGCTACGTTTCTAACAATCTCTCGCAGTACAAGATCTATCACGGGTTCGATTCTTATACACAACATGTTTTTAGTAATATTATAAGATTTTGTACCGACATAGGTACATTAAAAATTATGACGAAAGTTGTTACAATTGATACATTTTAATTAAACATTTGTATAACGAGTTAAATATTATGCCAAAGTGATACATAATATTTAACTTGCCAAAAAAACTGATAGGATAGATACCTACTACAGTTGCATTCATTATTATTATATAAATTATTTCATTTCATTATTTAATTTTGCATTTTTTACATTTTATTTTCAGCTTATTACTCCGAATCGAAGTAGAAAGTGATTGTTTATATAAATTAGGAGATAAGTTCGGTTGTGATTTTGAAACGGAGGCCATTGACCTTCTTGAAGAAGCTGCTGCGCTTCATTTGAAGGTAGTTTTGTTTTATAACATGTTTTTATATATATTTTTTATCTAAATATTTGAATTAATCTTAAATTCTCAAATCAAATGCTTGTTTATATAACGCGTGTTACAATATTGTGATAAAAGAATTAAATTAAAATATACGATATAAAATTTTAGGTAGTCGGGGTTGCATTCCACGTAGGCAGCGCTTGCTCATCAATAGACAGCCACGAAAATGGAATAAGACAAGCTAGAGCTCTTTTTGATCATGAAGCAAAAGCTGGCAGGAAAATGTACATTGTAGACATAGGAGGAGGGTTTATGAGTGACCATATTTCTAGGATTGATAAGGTATGGATATGTTTACTACATTTATTTATCCTGTAACTTCTTACTATCGCCGTTCTTTTTAAAATACCATAGTAAAGTTAAATCTAAAGAAAGAAGTAACTTAACTTGATTAAATGCTGCCAATCGAAATATATTATTCATGCAGTAGGTTCCGCATAATCATGAAATTTACACAGAACTTCTTTCTACACGATAACATAAAAAACTCTTAGCGGGAAACATTTTCATTTTCCTAAAGAAAGTACCCTTTGATATTAAAATGAAGGGAGTACTTATATTCCAGATTTTTAATTAATTTTCATCCGTCATTTCAAAGTTGATGGCAACTGCTGATATATTACTAAAATAATTGATCGCTGGTAACTGTGATCGTAGCCGCCTCTAACACGCGAAGCGCGTATTACATCTTACATCTACGATAGTACGCGAAAGTTTACTTTTTTAAGTTGAACATTTCTTGATTTGTTTTATTTTTCATACAGGTTTCCAAAATAATAAACCGTACGTTAGATGAAGTATTTCCGGAACCAGACATACAAATAATAGCAGAACCTGGAAGATATATTTGTGATTCGTCCATGAACTTGTACTGTAGTATCAACAACATACGAAGGGTAATTATTACATATATAAATCATTTTGATTTTTGTTAACTATTACATTGAAATAAAAGTTTCTTCAGTTTCTTATTTATATTGTTGAAATACTCTGAAATTACTGACTCATTTTAAAGTAATAAAAAGCTCATAAAAATCACCACTGCAATAAATGTGACCAGTTAGAAAAAAACATTTATGATTAACAAGAAAATTTATTTAAGCATTTATAACCGTATGGTTAACCGCCATAACCATAAGTAACCATAGTTGACCAGTCATAGTCAATAAGTAATTAATTAATTTTCAATCTTTTTAGCCATTAGAAAAAAATGACGAATATATCTTAATGAGTTCTATAAATCTAGGAAATTGCTAAACCTATTTCGAAAGAACTACATATATAACGAAAAGTATGTAGAAATGCGTCTATAATATGATACAAAATTTGATATTTAATTTACAATTTTAATTTTATTTCTCCTGGCCGATTCCGGCCACGGCGGCCAATCTCATTGAGACTAGCCAACTGCGCAGGAGATATTATAGTGCACAAGTGTACGCGCAGACACAAGTGCACTCTCTATTCCTGTCACTCTCATACTCCGGTGGGACGACTGCTCGACACGACCAGTGAGAGTTAAGGCGCAGGACCGACGGCTTTACGTGCTCTCCGAGGCACGGGGGTGAAACACCGCCAACTTTCCAACTCCGGGCTGTTACTGAGGTTACTATACAGAAATACTCAATAACTAAACTTGGCCCGACCCGGGACTCGAACCCAGGACCTCCGAGTGTGCAGCCGTACATGCTAGCCACTACACCACCGAGGCAGTTATATATCTCAATACCCCTATTATATACAGCATAAAAATTGAGATAACAAAATCATTATAGCAGGTGACGAAAAAAGGTGAGACAGTAAATATGGTCTACATTAACGATGGAATCTACGGTACTTTGAGATTCATTGAGCCGTGGCATAAAGTGAAGATATTTGGGGTAAGTCTTTAAAGTGTCAAAAAATCATAAATAAATACATAAATATGTTGGGACATTAACACATGGCGCTAATTCCATGTTAAGCTACGAGGCTTGTGTTATGGATACCAGATAGTTAATACACTACAAATACTATATAACTAAAATACATACCTATATACATTTAATAAATATAAACACCCATAACTGGAGTACAAACATTCATGCTCATCACACAAATGAATGCCCCAGCGGGACTTGAACACTCAATCGCTGGCACAGCAAGAAGGATCACTACAGACTGAGCCAAAGTTTGTAGAATTTTGCTATTCGCCCTTTTTTTAACCTACTTCCAAAAAGGAGGAGGTTCTCAATTCGTCAGTATCTTTTTTTTATGTATGTTCACCGATGACTCGAAGACGCCTGAACCGATTTGGAATTCTTTTTTTGTTTCAAAGGGTATAATTCCCAGGTGGTCCCATATAATTTTTTTCAAAATCGATCAAGCGTTTTTTTTTTTTTTGAAATCAACAAATAAAATATTTTCTTAAATAAATTGCTTAATTGAATTATTTTTTAAAAACCCTTTACACTAAAAATGGGCAAATAAAAACTAAAAAAAACCGACTTCCAGGCACTAAAATGTAAAAAAGTAACTAAACGGGGGTTTTCATTTAGAATACTCGTAGATACCTAATAAGATATTTTTGAAGTTGGTGCCAGCCGACAATATTTTAAGATATGAATATCTAATAGGTAGATATGGTATATATATACAAGTGATTAAATTATAAAGTAAAATTTAAAATGAATGACTTTAATAGTGTACGCTAAAATGTATATAAAGTAAACATTAACTAACAAGTAAATATTATTACAGAAGCAATCAAACATTATAACTGAAAAACTCGAGAAGATCACCTTATGGGGACCGAGTGGCGACTCAACTGACCAACTTATGAAAAATTTGAATATCTTTTTACCTTGTTGCACGCCAGCAGATTGGCTCGTTTTTGATCTACAAGGGGCGTATACTTTTGTATTCAGTACCCGATTTTCCTGTTTACAAATACCTCTCATTCGGTCGGTTGTGTCACAAAAACTATGGTAAGCATTTTTTTAATTATTTATTTTATATTTATTTCTTTTCTCATATTTCAATACTATCAGCTTATCCTCGCTTCGCTCGAGTTCGCCTCTGGAAAAACAAAAAAACCATTTTTCCAAGCTATATGCTATTCGTTACTATATCTATGTCTGTGCTAAATTTCATCCAGATCCGTTCAGCCGTTCTCCCGTGATTAAGTAACAAACAGCCATCCAAACGTCCAAACATCTAAATTTTCACTTTTATAATATTAGTAAGATAACACTAAGCAATAATAATACATTAATATGACGATTGACGAATTAACTTGCTAACATTTTGTTGCATTTTTAAATCGTTCGAAGAAAACAAGAAGCACAAATTATAAACATTTTCTTACTAACATTATTATGGTTACACATATTTTATGAGAATGACTTAAGTTATTTAATAAATATTATTGTATATAAATAATAGGCAAGAGCTCAGTGGTAGTTAAAGTAAATATTTCAGGTTTTACTAAGAGTCTGAGCTGATGTTGACTGGACTTTACTAGAAGGTAGTTGACTTTATATGGCATAACTAGCATTTCCCGCGGCCCCGCCCGCGTTCAGATGACCAAAAACCAAATTCTTAGGTTTTACATATTAGTATACTCCTACAATGCAGTCTTTGTATTTTTTCTCAGAAATGAGATATTTTCCCGCGGTAAAAAGTATCTTATATGTTGACCCGGATAACCAGCTATCATCGTACCAAATTTCATCAAAATCTGTCCAGTGGTTTTCTCGTGATGCGGTAACAGACAGACAGACAGGCAAAAATTCTAAAAACTATAGATTCAGACTCTGTATCGATTATAATGTCTATTTCAATTAGATTTTCCAAAAAATATTTAATGTACAGATTCAACTTAGTTACAATTTTATTATATCTATAGATATGGATTACTTATGAGAACATTGTATTTTATATTGATTTAAAGAGTTCAGATATGAACCAAATTACATTTGAATATTTTATAAGAGTGCAGGTTCAAGATAATATTAAGTTTTTTAATTGGTTGTTTGCGAAAAATTTCTTTAATTAAATGGATAAAGACAACTTTTAATTAAAGATTCAATTTAAATACCGTGCTAAAACAAATATTTTTAAATTGTTTCAGGAATAATTTAAAATCAAACAAAGCATTTGACCCCGAAGATTTTGTAACAAATCAAGATCTGTCAACGCCGCTTCCGTCTACATTACCACCATTAATTAATAACGAAAATCCTTTAAAATTAAATCATACTTTAAAGTTGTAATAAATGAATAAAGACAAAGTTGTAAAAGATATATAAAATAATTATGTAGCATTCATTTTATATGAAGTTAGTACATACATACAGATGGAACAAATCGATACGATATGGAAGAGAAGTACCTTAAATATCAAGATTTACTCAAAGGAAATATTTCTTCATTTTTAAAAATAATAATAACTGCATTTAATTTTTTTTAAAGGCTTACCTGACCTGGGAATCGAACCAAATAAAAATGCAAAAAACGACACTGTCACTGTTTTATCGAATTAATCTATAAGCTCTATGGGAAGGATAAAATCTCTCGAACAAACATTGCGTCTTAGAATTGTAGAAAACGTTGAAATCTTACAAATTATACATATCGACTCTAACATCGTAAAACAAAGGCATAGGACATGGAACAAAAGACTGAAAATATTAAGTTTCACTCAAAGGAAACTTTATTTTATTTTTAAAAATAAGTTAGGATTGATATGTGCTATTTGTAAGATGGCATCATTTTCATTAATTGTAACTTACAATTTTCATTCAAGACATTTCATCCTTACCATAGACTATCCAATATCCATTAATTCGATAAAATAACCGTAGTGACGGTGTACCTTTTTTTACTCATTTTGAAGGTTCGTCGCAAGGTTACAAGTGTTATTTTCAATAGTTTATTTGCATTATAAAGTGTCGATAATCTCACTTATTGTAATAATTATAACATACCATGATAACTTATTCGATTCGATCCGATTACTGGTTCAAGTCACCTCTTTTTTTTAAATGCAGTTACTCTTATTTTTCACTGGATACACTTTCACTATAACTTCACTCCACTTTTCTTCACTTTTCACTTTTTCGTACTTCTTCTCAGTTTACACTTAGCTTCGAAATTCAACTGATCTCTTGACACACTGCCGGCCTTTTTATATGCATAAACAAAGAACATTCTAATATTAGAATGTTTTGTTACACACGGCAATATACGATTAACTGTGCTGCCTAAACCTCGAACCTTCTAGTAATTTCGATCCCTCTCTGGAAATGTTTTGACAACTGTCATAGGATGTGTAGTGCATGCTTCAGACGTGTCTTTTTAATTATTATTTTTTGGTGTAATGACGTTACACATTCTCCATTACGCGAACTATCCCCTCCTAAGACATTATAAACAAACTTGTTTAGGCTTAAAATAAAGTGAATATCATCGATATTCATCCTGCTGCTGCTGTTTTTTTTAGTTTACGTGCCAATATATGTATGCCAAAACATAGCAAAATATTGTCTCATTCGAATACAAAATTTCATGAAATCATCGGTGTACGAGTCAGACTAGCATTTGCCCGATTTTTTGGAACCATTGTTTATATTTGTTCCTACACATCCAGTAAAGTCAAGACCTAAGAAAGAAATTCTCTTTCAAACTCCGCAAATTCTACGTAATCATAATCAACAAGAGCCCCGCCCTCGCTTTGCTGAAGCCTTCACTACGCCTCCCATAGTATATTTTTATCTTTAATTTTTACCTCCAACGCGCCTAACGATTGATGATTGTAGGCAGTCGAGCTGAGCTGTTTTATTTTTAACAATTTACATTTTACATGCCTCCTGAAATGTTGCAACTAAAAATTCTTTACTTCGTTCTGCAGCGACTTCTGTTCGTGCTCCATACCTTAGGATAAAATTATCAACAAAACTTCTTCCTACTTCCTCAGCTATTTTTGAAATTAAAGGATAGGCTTCAGCGTGTTCTGTGAGCTAGCATCGTAAAGTTAATATATAAGAATAATTATAATTGTCTGTCTGTATCAAAGGGTCTAATCAAATCTAAATATTATACTTCATCGAAAGATACATTAGCCGTTGTTGTCATTTGCATAGGTTCTTTTATCGGTGTCGAATATATTTTTACGTTGATATTTAACACAACGACGCATATAATCTTTTACAATACTAATAGACCAATCGGAATCCGTTTATTTTTAAGAGAAAAAAAAGAAAGGCGCGAGATTGACAATCACTGGTGTCGGGGTTCGAATCCCGGTGGGATACAAGGTTTTTACTTTTGTTTTGTTTTTTTTGTATTTATTCAAGATTATAGTTTTTTTTTTTGTTTTTAAGCCAAATTAAAAAGAAGATTGTACTTTTGGCTAAAAACTCCAGGCGAAGCTTGGTCGCCCAGGTAGGTACTGTAATATAAAATACAGAATTAGTGTGGTGTGTATTTTTACGTTAATATTATTTTAAAATGTTTCCATACTACATTTTATGTAAAAAAATCAATCTTAGGACCGACTTTTTTTAAAAATAATATAGTGCCACTTTTTAATAAGGAGTCATGAAAATCGTAATATGAGTATGAAAAAATACCTATAAATTGAGCGTTTTCTCCTCTTTTGAAACTCATTTAAAATTACAAAACAATAAAAAAATATGATTTGTAGAAACAATATGTTGAATGAACCCATCGTCTGTGGGTACAAAAGCAACAAGCTTCAACAGCTCGTATTTTGTAGAACGGTCGACGTTCTATTCCAAGACTCGTTCAACGGCAACAGTGTTTCTTTCAACATGTTGCTTCCCTCAAAATCGCCTGTTGTTGAATAGATGTAAATGCACTTTAACACAATTAAAAAACAAATATCATAAAAATGCACAAATCCTTTATCTACATTCATTTTAGTCTTATGAACAGTACATTTCACATACAAACTTGCGTCTATTTTATGACTATTTTATACATTTTTCAAATAAAATAATGATAAAAAATAATACATGAGTGTTATTCTTTTTCACATTTTATAGAATATTTTATGGATTTAAATCGGAAAGAGTCCTATAAAAAATTGTAAGTATGTAGATACTGAACCTACACAGAACAGACTCATTACCCTCTTTCCGAAGCAGTCGAGTAAAAATGTTATCTCATACACATGCGAGTTCGAAGTTTTTTTTAAGAATTACGAGTATATTATATAGGTTTATCAATGAACACTTCCTGTACGAAGTAGGGTATGAAACACCCCAGTCATTGAAAACTTGCTAATTGGTATTGCTTGAAAAATATAAATTCGTTGTTCTCAATTTCTGCAAATTAGATTTTGATATACACCCCCACCTTTGCACGGCTAAATGCATGCTACTCTTTTTTATTTTAATGTAAGAACTACATTTTACTTCAAACCAGCGACTTACCCTCGCTCTCGCTCGGGTGCATCCCACGTACGCTTTAATTTTTTGAGCGGAACCCTAATTTTTTTTCTAAAAATAAATTAGCCTAAGTTACTGCCAGTGAAAGTCCCATCAAAATTAGTCCAACCATTTCGGAAATTAATCGGAAGAAATAGACAGACAGACAAACATTTAAAAAAATCGCTAACGTGAATTGCACTAATAAGAGAATTATGTTCAACCATCTAAAACGACAAAATTAAATTTATGTACTCATGACTTATGACTTTCAGTAAAAAAATGTAATAATTTAATGCTGAATAAAATATTTTGAATTTTGAATTTTTTCTTGGGCCACTACTGGGACAAACAGAAAAATACATATTTAGTGCGATACATATATTTGTCTTGTGTCAAAGAAAGAACCGAAATGAGAAAAATACTGTGTAAAAATATCTAAAACACCATATTTATTTGAAGTTTCTGATTTCCCGCGGTATCTGTAACGTAGTAAATTTCAAAAATAAATTTTAATCTAAGTATAAATTAATAATCTATGAAATCAAGCCATTTTATTATTTTTATGTTCAAAAAAAGGTCTTTGTTTATTTTTTGAATATAGTTTAGCCTAGCTTTTGAATAAATATAATTTACTATTTTTAACACATTTTTTTTAATTCGCAAATTGTTTAAATTCTTTTAGACAATTTCATAAAAAATCGGGTCTTGCACACCTCTGTTCATGTGGAATAAGAAGTAAAGTCACCGAGTACACGCGGGTTAAAATACGTAACTTATTCAAGTTTTACCTGAATTATCTTATCTTGAATAAATAATATGTAATTATTGCAAATTATATATATGTTTACTTTAACTAATTACCTTACAAACATTGACAAGTACAAATATACATAAGTTTATCCGACTTCATATAGAATAAACTCAGTAAGCCTTCAGACAGGCAACATAATAAACCCTGAAGAGGCTAGTAATATACAAAACTAGAAGTAAGTAGCAACATAATATGTGAAGGTATATATAAGTGTTATTGGTTAATTCAATAATCTTGTATTATTAAGAAGTTATGCCATAAATATGCAAAAAAAGCAATTGCAATTCAAATTCGAAAGAAAAATATTATTTATAATAGGTATAAAGTGTTAATTAAGTATTTTAATTTCCATATTTATTCGTGTTTTTGTTATTGAATATATTGTATGTATATGTGTATGTTTTGATAATTTTGTGCCTACACGAGAAAATAATTTCGCAGAAAATGACAAATGTAAACTCAATCAATGACCAAGTGTTGGTCTTAAATGGTAACACCCCCGAAGACGTCGCTAAGGCACTAATAAAAGGCGGTCGTCAAAAGGAACCGTTTTATATATTCGACTTAGACGAAGCTTTCCGCCGCATCGAGCACTTTCAGAAAATGATGCCTAGAGTGCAAATATTTTATGGTAATATGCGTTTGTTATATGTTTCTTCTTAGTTCTTATCTCTTGAAATATAAAGACTTAATAAAAAGTATTCGAAACATCGGAAACCAAAAATCAAAATAAATCCGCGAAAAATCGGAAAATATTTTTTTATTTAAAATGTCAAATATTCGCGTAAATATAAAAAAGTCTTAAGCCCTAAATTATTAAATGATCCTTTTAATCGTTTTCGTATTATAAGTGAATAAACAAACATACATGCTATTTTTAAAAAGTAACTATCGTATTTGCTTCTATTAAATCCGATATGTTGCACAAATAAAATGTACAGCATCGAATTCAATTTCATTAAATGCTTACACAATGTTTATTACATGCAATTGTAAAACAATATTCATCTCGAGTTTTCGTATACTGTTTCTTTCATTAGTTAATTATGATACTTTTAAACTTTCTTTTACTTTTATAATAGTTTCTTATTACTAGACCAGGGTCGATAATTTTTAAAACCAAAAAAAATAATAGTAGGATGAAACCAGAGGCTATGTGAAAAAAGTGTTAATACAAAAGTTGTAGATCTTTTTATTACCTGCAACTTTGCCATTCAACTTTTTCCCATAGGACTTGTGGTTTTGCCGGATATCGAGATAAATCGTTTTTTACCCTTAAAAACTAACCCATGAAATCAATCAACCTCCCTGTGCGTTTCTTAGCTACTGAGCCCCTCCACCACGACAAGGTGAACGCACGTTGGGGGGGAAAAGGCTTTATGCCTGGTCTATACGCTATGAATATAAAATTATTTCAGCGATGAAATCAAATGACAGTGACAAGATGATAAAACTGGCAGCTGCGTTAGGACTAGGCTTCGACTGCGCCTCTCCGGGGGAAATTAACAAAATACTGAAATTAAATGTATCTCCACAGTAAGAAATTATAATATTTTCCATTTTACATAAACAGAAATCACTCTCATATATTGCTTTTGTACAAAACAGTTCATAAGATATTTCTTTCATATATATTTTTATTTATGAACCGATTTAAATAAGACAAATACTAAATGTTAAGTGAAGCTTAGCACAATACATTAGTGGAAACCACAACCAAATCGGTTAATCCGTTTGTGATATTAACGCGCACAAACGCACAGACTAACAGATTAAAATTCTAAAAATCATTGTCTTGGGTTCTATTGCGCTAATAAAGACCCTCAATAATAGTTTTTCTCAAATGTCTTCCATGTTCAGGCAGCGATTAGTTACATTTTTATTGTGTATTATATTTGGTTAGAAACACAATTTATGTTTATGAGTTTCACTGAATATTTAAATTTCTTAACAAACTTATAAAAAACTTATTACAGGAGCATCATATTTGCCGTACCAACCAAGACTACGGAATGGATGACATATGCTCGAGAAGTTGGAGTTCGTCATACAACATTCGACACTTCATATGAATTGAAGAAAATTAAACAATATTGGCCAAATGCAAGGTAATCGAAACTAATGCTACGTTTCTAACAATCTCTCGGAGTACAAGATCTATCACGGGTTCGATTCTTATACACAACATGTTTTTAGTAATATTATAAGATTTTGTACCGACATAGGTACATTAAAAATTATGACGAAAGTTGTTACAATTGATAATATGTAAATAAACGTTTGTGACGATATGTAAATAAACCATAATTAAACGTTTGTGTGATGACTTAAATATGTCATAGTGATACATATTATTTAACTAGCTTGCAAGCAAAAGAATGATAGATATTGTAATTGCATTATTATACACATTATTTCAAAATTTAATTTTGTTTTACATTTTATTTTCAGCTTATTACTCCGAATCAAAGTAGAAAGTGATTGTTTATATAAATTAGGAGATAAGTTCGGTTGTGATTTTGAAACGGAGGCCATTGACCTTCTTGAAGAAGCTGCTGCGCTTCGTTTGAAGGTAGTTTTGTTTTATAACATTTTTTATATATATTTTTCTAAATATTTGAATTAATTTTAAATTCTCAAATCAAATGCTTGTTTATATAACGTCTAACAGTACAATATTGTAATAAAAAAATTAAATTAAAACATACGATATAAAACTTTAGGTAGTCGGGGTTGCATTCCACGTAGGCAGCGCTTGCTCATCAATAGACAGCCACGAAAATGGAATAAGACAAGCTAGAGCTCTTTTTGATCATGAAGCAAAAGCTGGCAGGAAAATGTTCATTGTAGACATAGGAGGAGGGTTTATGAGTGATCATATTTCTAAAATTGATGAGGTATGGATACGTTTATTACATTTATTTATCCTGTAACTTCTTATTTTTTTAAATACCGTGGTAAAGTTAAATTTAAAGAAAAAAGTAACTTAACTTGATTAAATGGTGCCAATCGAAATACATTATTCATGCAGTAGGTTACGCATAATCATGGAATTTACACAGAACTTCTTTCTATACGATAACATGAAAAAGTCTTAGCAAGAAACCTTTTCATTTTCCTGAAAAAAGTAGACTTTGATATTAAAGTGAAGGGAATACTTATTTCCTTGCGTATATCCAATTTGCCGATTTTTAATTATCAGCCGTTATTTCCAACTTTATTGTAACTACTACTAATATATGTAAATAATTTATCGCTGGTAACGGTGATCGTATCCGCCTCAAATACGCGAGCAGGTATAACATCTTACATATTCGATAGTAACATTTAGAACATATCTTGATTTGTTTTATTTTTCATACAGGTTTCCAAAATAATAAACCGTACGTTAGATGAAGTATTTCCGGAACCAAACATACAAATAATAGCAGAACCTGGAAGATATATTTGTGATTCGTCCATGAACTTGTACTGTAGTATCAGCAACATACGACGGGTAATTATGACACATTTAAATCATTTTGATTTTTGTTAACTATTACATTGAAATAAAAGTTTCTTTAGTTTCTTATTTATATTGTAAAACTACTCTGAAATTACTGACTCATTTTAAAGTAATAATAAGCTCATAAAAATCACCACTGCAATAAATGTGACCAGTTAGAAAAAAAAAACATTTATGATTAACAAGAAAATTTATTTATACATTTATAATCGTATGGTTAACCACCATAACCGTATGTAACCATAGTTGACCAGTCATGTAGGCAATAAGTAATTAATTAATTTTCATTCTATCTAGTTGGCCATTAAAACAAATTTTAATAAGTTCTATAAGTCTTGGAAATTGCTAAATCTATTTCGCAAGTACTACATACACATATAGCGAAAAGTATGTAGAAATTCTTTTATAATATGTCTAGCAGAGCTCGCGGCTTCAAACGCTAAAACTACAGAAAAAACTCTCAAAAGGTAGGTTTCATACAAACTTTCATCCCCTATTTTACGCTCTTATGGGATAAATTTCGAAAAATGCTAAAATATATATTTATTTAATTATATTAAAGAGCATTAATACCAAGTTTCAAGTAATTCTGTTCATAATTATTTTTCTGAGTTGTATTATAACGTGTTTTCCCGTGGGAATGAGATGATCTCCCGCTATAAAAAGCAGCCTATGTCACTCTCTAGCTCTTTAACTACCTCCCTCCAAAATCCACGCCAATCTGACACTCCGTTTCGACGTGAAAGAAAGACAAACAAACAAACAAACAAACAAACAAACAAACAAACAAACAAACAAACAAACAAAACACTTTCACATTTATAATATTAGTATTGATATAAAATTTAATTTACAATTTAGATTTAGCTTTAACACCATGTATATAGTAATATCTAATTATAACAACATTGTTTAACAGTAATTAAAAGCAAATAAAGATTAAGATAACTAAATCATTGTAGCAGGTGACAAAAAAGGTGAGATAGTAAATATGGTCTACATTAACGATGGAATCTACGGTACCTTGAGATTCATTGAGCCGTGGCATAAAGTGAAAAGATTTGAGGTAAGTCTTTAAAGTGTTAAAAAATAATAAATAAATATGTTGGGACATTACCACACAGCACCATCTAGTTCCATGGTAAGCTACGAGGCTTGTGTTATGGATACCAGATAGTTAATACATTACACATATATAACTTTAAATACATATACGAATATGGACATATTTTAAATACAAACATCCATCACCGGAGAACAAATATGTTCATGTTCATCACACAAATAAATGCTCCCATCGGAACTCAAACCCGCAACCGCTGGCCCAGAAAGTTGGGTGACTACAAACTGAAGGTGGTGTAGGTACACTACAAACTAAGCCAAACTAATTTGTAGAATCTTGCTACTCGCCCTTTTTGGACAATTCTTTATATATTAAAATTAAATTATTACAAGCAAGTTATCGTCGCCTGTTCCTAAGTGTTTAATATTAGCCTGTGTGTTACTCCAGGTCATAGTCTATCCATATACTAAATTTCATCTAAACAAACTTGCGCAATTGTAATTATTCTGCTAATAAGTGATAAATCGTTATTATCATCTCGCTTAGATATTTTTATATGCGAATCATTTCCGACATGATTACTGCTTGCTTTAAGGTAAAGGAAAACATCGTGAGGAAACCTGTATGTCTGAGAGAACTTAGCAAGCTTTCAAAAGACACGTGAAGTCCGCCAATCCGCACTTTTCCAGTGTGATGGACTATGATCTGTTCCCTCTCGTATTGAAGGGGGGCCGTGCCCAGCGGTGGGCCGTAAAAAGGCTTAATAGAAGTGCCATATGGAGTACCAGTATATATAACTGTACGGCTCTGAAACTAGTCTATTTTAATAATGAATCAACTGAAACTTATCATGCAAACTGTTGTTTTGGTACTAATATTACCTTGTGCGATTCCATTTACAGCACCGTGATTCAGATCTGAACGCCTACTACCTACATGACTAGTTAATATCCACCATCGTGTATCATATATGTCACGTAAAATAAAAAATATTGATGGTTTTTATTTAGATTTACCATCTCCACTGGCACATTTTGAAGCCATTAACAAGATAATTGAATTGAATTAGATTTACCATTTTAAAGTACTTGTAATATAATTTAATTCTAACTTCTACGACAGACTGTTAAATTTCGAAATATGGCTACCTAACAAGTATTAAAAAAAGTAAAACTAATTAAAAACGTCACTGTGCCCTTTGACATACATATATACATACATTTAATATTACATAGTTTATTAAATACGACGACACGTTGGGCTCAGTTTGTAGTGAACCTACTTACTGTGCCAGCAGTCGCGGGTTCGAGTCCCGCTGGGGGCATTCATGTGTGTGATGAGCACGAATATTTGTACTCCAGTCATGTGTGTTTATATTTATGATATGTATGTATGTATACATAAATGTATTTAAAGATATATATGTGTAATGTATCAACTATCTGGTATCCAGAACACAAGCCAGAGCTTACCATGGAACTAGATGGCGCTGTGTGTTAATGTCCCAACATATTTTAATTTTTTTTTTTATAAAAGTAACATTTTAGAGAATACTTTTGACTAGAGATTCTAATATAAAATTAATGATTTTAAAAGTGTATATAAAGCTAAAATGTATATAAAGTTGATATTAACTAACAAGTATTATTACAGAGGCAATCAGACGTTATAACTGAAAAACACGAGAAGACCATCTTATGGGGACCGAGTTGCGATTCAACTGACCAAGTTATGAAAAATTTTAATATCTTTTTACCTCGTTGTACGCCATTAGATTGGCTCGTTTTTACTCTACAAGGGGCGTATACTTTTGGATTTAGTAGCCGCTTTTCTTGTTTAAAAATGCCTCTCATCCGGTCGGTTGTATCAGAAAAACTATGGTAAGTTTTTTTTATTGTATGAGTTTTTTTAATCATAATTCAATATAAGATATATGCAATAATAATACATTAATATGACGAATTAACTAGAGTATCCGGGCGGCCGAGCTTCGCTCGGGGTTATCTTTCTTTATATCGTATTTTTTTAGAGAAAAAAAAAACTAAAAACTTGAATAAATACAAAAAAAAAAACAAAAGTAAATACTTTGTACCCGACTGAGATTTGAACTCGGACACTTGTGATTGTCAATCTTGCCCCTTAGCCGCTTGACCACGATGCATATGCCCGAGCGTGCGAAATTAGCGACCATATTTTGCGTGGAATAATTCTAAAGTAATCTAGATAGAATAGAAGATAAAAATCTAGATTAGTCTTATGTCTCCCAGACATAAGACTAATCTAGATTGTTTTTTCGCCCCCGAAAACTCCCACATACCAAATTCCAGCGAAATCGTTAGAGCCATTTCCGAGTTTGCCGGTATATATAAATAAATAAATATACAAGAATTGCTTGTTTAAAGGTATTATATAGATTAAATAACATTTTATTGTATTTTTAAATCATTTGAAGAAAAAGAAATATTCTTTTTTCATGACCATTATTATGGTCACTCATATTTTATTAGAATGACTTAGTCATATAACAAATATTTATCTATTTAAATAATAGGCAAGGGTTTTACTAGAGACTGAGCTGATATTGACTGGACTTTACTGGCAGGTAGTTGATTGTATCTGGTATATCATAGGCATCACTTATGAGAAAATTGTATTGTATATTGATTTAAAGAGTTCAGATATGAACTAAAGTACATTTGAATATTCTATAAGAGTGCAGGTGCAAGATAATATTAAGTTTCTTAATGGGTTCGCGAAAGTTTTGTTTAAATAAATGAATAGAGACACCTTTTAATTAAAGATTCAATTTAAATACCGCGCTAACACAAATATTTTGAAATTGTTTCAGGAATAATTTAAAATCAAACAAAGCATTTGACCCCGAAGATTTTGTAACAAATCAAGATCTGTCAACTCCACTTCCGTCTACATTACCACCATTAATTAATAACGAAAATCCTTTAAAATTAAATCACACTTTGAAGTTGTAAATAAAATAAAGACAAAGTTGTAAAAGATATATTTAAAGTCATTTGACTACGTTTTACGATTTTATGATTATACGAATACGTATGATGATAAAATTATGAAACCTTTATTGTATATGAAGGTGGAATATAAGTTAGGTAAACCCAAGAATTTGAGATAACAATAATTATTATATATTTTGCTATTATTTAATTTTATCTTAGTGTCGTATAATTTTATATGTATTTAAATATTTGAATCATACTGACTTTAAAGATATTGTAATATTAAAACTTACAAAAAAACATAAAAACCAACTTCAAAAAAACACTAAAAAGTAACAAATAACAAATTGGTAGTTTTAATTTACTATAGATACCTATTACATAATCAGATATTTTCGAAGTCGGTGTGCTTTATGTATCGACTGGTACCGACAATTTTACAACAGTTGGACTTTAGAACAGGCAAAATTTCTTCTCTGAGCTAAGAGCTATTAAACCGTTCAGGAGTTACGTTCTGGAGCCAATCCTAGATGGGGAATCAGGTCATAATTATCATACAAAGTCATTGTCACCGGAACTGAATCAACATGTAAAAGAGGAAGTGGTTTTAATTCAGCTTGCAAAATTTGACCTAAACAAACATACCAACTAACAAACATTGCAAGTTAAATGAAAACTTAAAATAAATAATAATTACAAATTAAAAATTTAAAAAACCCCCAACGCAAATTGTGTTTTAACGATTATACTGGCACGCGTGAAGCACTTAATCGAGTAATCATACGCCAAAATGCCTTACAACATTTTCTAAAAGAGCTGATACTCTTACACTGCTAGACCGATATTAACCAAAATAACTAAGAACCACCGATAGGAACCTGGCTTTCAAATGAAAAAACCGCATCGAAATCGGTCCATCCGTTTGAAAGCTACGATGCCACAGACAGACAAACACACACAGACGGGCATCGACGTCAAACTTATAACACCACTCTTTTTGCGTTGGGGGTTAAAAAGAGTCGTGCCCTCATTACACTGCATACTCATACAAAATTACAGTCCAACTCATCCGCTTATACTGCTGATATTGATTGCAGATAATAATGTGCATCGAGAAAAAACTTTCATAAAAGTTTCAATACCTTCCTTTTATATAATAAAAATATTCTTTTTACTTAAATAAGAACCTATTTTATTTAACAGATATTAAATTAATAGCTACATGTTCAATTACAAGAGATTTGGTACTAATCAAAGGCAATTGCGAACTTACCATATTAATTTAAGCCGTTACGTATTCCCTGCATGACTATAAAGGAGTTCTCCGAACATTTTAGTCTGGAATTATCCACTTATGGAAAGGCTTTTCACATTACATTGTTCCAAGGGAAATATTGTACAAGGGCGATTTACCTTAAATGTTGGGTGCCGGGTCGAAGCAATAAATGTAGAGATAGTAGAGCAAGTATGCGTAAAGGACGCTGACTCATCCTAATTTATAAACAGTTTAGCTCGACTTTGGCCAATAAACCGTTTAAGCCCTTTCCAATAATCGTGATACGCTCGTTGATTAGACTGAAAGCTGTTTCGATTTGATCAAGAAATAGAAAAGTTACTCAGTACTATATCTTTCTAGTGTTAGGTATAATTATTTTTAAGTAACCTTTAGATTTGCTTGAAATGAGTTTAATAAAAATGAATTGAATTATATAAAAATGTTTAAAATTAAAATTAATTAATATTGTAAGGTACTTGATTTTTCGAATTCATTTTGTTATTTTGTGGGTGGGCTGTCTGTAACAACTATATAATGCCTTTGAGACATCTTAAACCTTAGTCTCTCTCGTGACTATAATGGCTGTAAAGCATTCTAAACGTCGGGAACCAAAAATCACAATAAATCCGCAAAATAATCCGTAAAGATAGTTTTATTTAAAATGTCAAATGTTCGCGAAAACCTAAGAAATTATTATGAAATGAATTTATTAACTTTGTTTTAAATGATATATGTATGTAAGTACATATATCTGATAACACATCTCAATTATATCAAATATTTGTATGAATATGAAAGCATTTAGTATAGACAATATACATATGTATATGTACATACTAGCGACTCACTCTCGCTTCGCTCGGGTTCGTCCCTAGCTTGATTCCCCATACAAATTTTCATCCCATTTTCACTCCCTTAAGGGATGATTTCCGGGATAAAAATCCCGTATCCTATGTCTTTCCCAAGGTCTCAAACTAACTTCTTACTAAATTTCATCTAAATCGGTTCAGTAGATCCAGATATTACCCCCTACAACGTCACAAACTCACAAAGTCAGAAACTTTACCTCTTTATTATTATTAGAGTATCAGTTCTAAAAAACGTGTCTGCTTGCTAAGCTAATGATCATGACTTCATAATTCGATAAGTAAAAGATTATATGTTTATACAAGTTTCAATTTCAAATAAAAAAAAGAAAGGTTTATCTTTCTTTCAGTCTTTATCTTTTCATTATATAAGATTATATTATTATTTACTGGTGGCTTTCCTTTGATCTGACTTTTGATCTAGGTACATGGAAACAGCGTTGCTACAGTTTAATAGGAAGATCTTTTAAGAGAATTAATTCTGTAATACATTGTTTTCATATAACTTTATTAGTTTACGCGGCGCACGCCAATAAAGCTCCCAGTCGGCATGATTTTTTCCGACATCTTTAACAATCATCGTCATATGTCACTTAATTTACACAAAACCTTAATTTATACTTAAACCTTTCTCGAATTAATGAAAAAGCTATGAAAATCTGTTTGGTAGTTTTTGAGTTTATCGCGTTCAGACAGACAGACAGTGACTTTATTTTATAATATGTACAGATCTTGTAAATCTAGAGGATGATTGTGGTGCTAGTAACACAGGCTTTCCTGGTATTAGTTCCTTAGCACTTCTTTTGGATTATTAATATGTTTTACGTTTATTGTAAGGAGTACTATTCAATTTCTAAATAAACGATTATTATTATTATTATTAAACGGAGAATGAAGATTTGCAAAAAATATTTATTAAAGTTTTTTATTAAAACATCAGTTAAGAACGATAGGCGAATGATTTATATTTAATTATAAAAATTAACAGTTATAAATGATACTATATTTGTACGATATAAAGTTCTTTAAATTCGCGAACATGAATCGTGAAGCGAATATGATCTTGATGGCATGACCCGTGACAAAATAAGCTTCCTTAGATGCTCCTGGTGACAATTTATCCTTAAGCTGGAATAGAAATTAATATTTTAGTTTTTAATAGTATAATATGATTAGTCTTTACACAAAATGTCAAGAAAAATTGAGATTAATTTAGAAATTTAATAATTATAAATCAAAAAAACGGTACTCAATTTGGGTGTATTTGTGCGTGTTATGCAATATTTACTAATTGTGATATATATTTTTCATTTAGTTGGTAAAAAACACGATATTTCATGATGATGATGTTCTCCTGACCGATTCTGGCTAACTGCGCAGGAGACATTATAGTGCACAAGTGTACGCGTAGACACAAGTGCACTCTCTATTTTTTATTGTCACTCTCATACTCCGGTGGGACGACTACTCGACACGACCGGTGTGAGTTAAGGCGCAGGACCGACGGCATTACGTGCTCTCCGAGGCATGGGGGTGAAACTCCACCAACTTACCAACTCCGGACTGTTATTGAGGCGTACTACACAGAAAGACTCAATAACGAAACTTGGCCCGACCCGGGACTCGAACCCAGGACCTCCGGGTGCCGTGCTAGCCACTACACCACCGAGGCAGTTAACGATATTTTTAAATATCGTAAAAAAATAAACGATATTTTATATGCTATTATTTACGTATTGTTACAAAATAACGTACCTTTTGCTGGTGCCGCTGGTGCTGTGAAAAAAAAAGTATACATTTACAATGTAATCTGCATTTATTACCACTTAAGTATAATTCATTAGTAGAAATGGAAAATTACACTTATATTATGCAAAAAATTATTTGCTTATATTACCGTAAAGCAGGTTAATCAAATTATACACATTTTGTAACTGAAAATTATGTTCCAGATGCCACATGCTATATGCAATTGAATAAAATCTGACAAGTGCGAGACTCGGACACAGAGTTCCGTACCACCTAAAAATTATTTTTTCCGCGGTCACGAGAGTAACGGAAGAAACAGACTGTTTGTTCCGTGACCATGTATAGTATTCGCAACATGGAGAACAAAAAAAACGTTAGTGAAAATCCGTCCAATCCGTGAAAAATCCGATATAGACAGTTTTATTCTAAATATCAAATATTCGCGTAAATCTAAGAAAGTATTATTACTATACTAGATATATGTAAAATATTTACCGGGTGTTGCTGGTGTTTCAGGCTCCTGTAAAATAAAAAGTAATAAAATTAATAAAACTAAATACTATAATATATACAATTTTTGCTAAGCTAGGTAGGTATAGAGATTAGTAGAAACCAGCTATTCAAATAATAGATAAGCGTGAAATGCGTATAAAACATATCTATAAATATTCGTCATGAAGCATTAAAGCACCAGTTAAATTAAAGGTAAATGAAATTGAATTGTGTGTTGTAAATTACTTAATTGGTTATTACTGTTTATCTATGTCCCTGTAGTGCAGTGGCAGCATTAAGCTCATTTGTGAAATATTTTTATAGGTACAGGTTTATTAGATATAAACACCTTAAAACAGGTTTAAATATAGATAAAAGTACTTGTTAAAACCTAATATAAAACAGTTATTGATATACAAATTTATTGTCAAACAAAATAGTATAATAATTTAGCCTTTTTAACGTCTCACTGCCCTGTACTGGAATAAAATTCGGGTTGATGAATTTTATATGTATTTCTAAAACTAGTTACTTTCTCTCAGATATGCAGATTTTCCCTCAAGATGTTTCCCTTCCTAGTGTACCGTGTTACAAGTGACAATAATCTTGAAAATGATATTCGCACATAACAATTTCAAACGTATGAGGCACAGGATTTGAAACCATTTCATTTGTTCCAAGAGTGATATATATCAACTTTTACTGCTATCACTTATTAAGTCAAAATCATTTTTTTATTAACATAGATATATTTTATTGCACCCCGTTTCCGGTATTATCCTAATTCTATCAGCATTATTTTAAATTTTTGTATTGACTACTGGCTTAATATTTTAGAGCCATAAAACGTTACTATTATTTTAAAGTAAATATTATTTTGTGATAGGTGCAAAAAATTCACAAATAATTTGCTTTTGTACTACCTTCCTGTAATATATATATATATATATATATATATATATATATATATATATATATTGGTTTAATAATATGATAATAAAATACAATTAAATATATAGAAGTCCATGCAAATATGTCGTTATGCATTTTAATATATTTATAAATACACAGGTACTCTATATCGAGTGATTAATGGTTCATTATTTCGCAGCACTTAATGATTGCAATGCTTTAACTGCGAAATTTATATTATCAAAAACGGTCTTATAGAACTTTACATTTCAACTACGTTCTATACCAATAAATAAAATACTAGCCAGAAACTATTATATTAATATAAATGCTAATTATAGTAATGTTATGACGAAATCAAATTTAAAGTAATTTTTAGTAAGTAAGATTACACTATGCACACGTATAAGGCAGTGATAGCCCAGTGATAACACGCTCGCCTAGGAAACAAAATGAAGCGGGTTCAAATCCCGGTTCTCGCACCTTTTATATGAAAGGAAATAAAGAAATGATGAATAAAAATAAAAGAAAGGAATAGGAAACCTGCATATCTGAGGGAACCTAGCAAGTTTTCGAAAGACATGTGAAGTACGCCAACTCGCACTTGACCAGCATGGTGGACTATCGCCAGATCCCCCTTATAGTAAAAGGAAGCTCGTACCCAGCAATGGGACGTTAAAAAGGGGGTGAATAAAATTAAGATTAAGGACTAGTAAGTAAAATTCATCACGCATGTATCATGTAAGAACAGTTTTGTGCCATGCCACTTATCTCTGCTAAGAGTTCATCATAGTTCAATTTATATTTATTTAAAGCCAATCTAGTTGATGCCACCTATAATAAAAGATATCTATCCTAGTCCATCCAGATATTTTTATTGATATCTATCCTTACCTGTCCAAGATATAACAGGTTAAAAAACCTACAATCATGATCATATCATGCATGATCCATAAGAAATAAAAAGAATAATGAGGCTTTAGATCTTTTATATCGAGCTCTTACGGATGGAAAATGTTATTTACACATTGTAAACGAAAAGTTTTTTCTCTTTTTACTAGATTAATTCATTTTTAAGGTACCTCAAAAGGTAAAAAAGAGCCCTTATATGATCGCTGTCTTGTCCGTCTGTCTGTCCGTGTGTTACCACCGATATTCTCCGGAAAGGGTGGACCTAGCAATATTAAATTTGTACCAAATAGTCAACACAATAAAAAGATATGGGCAAATTTAGATTTTCGCGAAAACTTGTAAGTACCATTTACCTTAATTTTGAACATTTATATTTTTCGGAATTTTCCCTTTTTTTATATGTATACATATGGTTAACTAGTAGGTATGCATGGGATACTAGTTAGTGGCATTCAGACAACTACTCCGTTATGGTCTAATTATTATGGATATTATCATTAACAAAATCTATTAAGGCAAAACAGTTCAGTACCTTTTTCTCCTCTATTTTTCAACCGATTTTCTGTTTTTGTTTAACAGCTATTGACGAGCTTTTGTGTTATTAATAAAGAAATGATTATGGTCAAATTTTGACCACTGAGCGAATAGATATTAGTAGTACCTTATCAATAAAGCTATATTCATATCAATTTTAAAGAATTTACGTGAGGTAAGTAATGTTTTTATATACCTTGATTATCTGATACCTGGAAATTGACCGTCTAACCAAGCTAGCAGGTAGGCGATCTTAGTATGTGTACTAACACTACTCAATCATCCACATTTCGTTCGTCAGAAAATACGTGACGTCTGGTGGCCCTGGGATCTTGCTCTATTAATATACTATCTAATCTGCTATCGCTAATGCAGTAACAAAACATTAAATGCAAGATATAAGCCTTAAGATAATAATTAGCGATGTCATATTGTGTTTATCATTACTTACCTTAGTCGTAAGGTTATTCGTGTTTGTTCTTGATAAGTATCTCGTTCTTACGTACATTTTATCATAATAATAAATTGATAATATAAATATATTATTTAATTTTTTAATAAATATTAGTTAAATTGTTGCGTAAATAATAAGATTTTGGATATTCGACAATACTTTTTAGAGAATATAATAATATATTTACAGTTGACACGTCTTGAGTTTTTATTTTATTTTTTTGCGAAGAAAAATGGTGTATGTTCCAAAACTTAGTGCAGTGTATTTAAACCGCAACGTTGTAGACTGTTTGTGTATGCTAAGTGAACTCCGTTTAATATTTACGTTGCTGAAGGTAAAATAAAAATATGCAAAGGTATAAAAGGGTATTTCATAAGCAAATTATTGAAGGACTGAAGAAATATGAGATTATAAATCAAAAACACAGGGGTTACACACAAATCTTGCGGACTATGGTTCGAGTATTTTAATAGAATGTAAACAGTTAGATTCTGATATACTTAAAAGTAATTATAATTGGAATTTTATATATTTATATATATATATATATATATATATATATATATATATATATATATATATATATATATATATATATATATAATATTTGTAGCATAACAGGTAAAATGGCAAACGGTAAGGAATAAAGGGACAAATAACATCGCACCAAATGTAATATAATACAGAAATTATTTTATTAAACGTATTATTAACTTACAAAACATTATTTATAAATAAATAATTATTTAAATGATTTTGATGTTCGAAGTGTTCATAGAAAATATATATGGAGGAATTAACTTTGTGATACCCGGAATAGGGTGTAAGGAGGGTATCGTGCTTGAAATGCATTTTTGGTCGGATAAAAAGGTCACATATAGTTTATTTTGGGGTGACAACATTTCATGCCTCGACTTCCTCTTCTTTTACCTTCTGGTCGCCTGGCTTGCCCTTGGACCAGTCGGGCTTTTTCTGTAAAACAATCGTTATTCATTAAAATAGGCCTCAGTATTTGTGAAACCTCGACAGCGTAAAGCTAAAATCAAACTCAAAAGACGCCATCGATGAAATCCGTACATATTCCGACAAAGCAAAAATTGCGATCTTCAGACATTGTCATACAATCTAAATATGCCATATAATCGATACGATACATAAAAGGTATTCAATTTGTCTTATTTCCAAGCAATGGGAAAATTTAGATTATATGAGCAAATCTTTATATACAAAATTTTACAGCGTAACGCAATCAGCGCAGATGAATGGAACGCTTTATTCAATTTCGTAAAAGCCAGTTCGCTGTCTGTGGTACAAACTAAACGCTAGAGTGCTCAAAATTCTCGAAACAAACGACTTTGTGATAAATGGTAAAAACGTAAAGTCTCTTTAGAATGAATTGTTTATATCGGTTTGTTTCAAGCATCTAATAAGCGAAAACTTAATGCCGAAGTAGGAAGTAATATTTGCTAATTATTTGGAATTACGTGGCTATGATACGTGTCACAATTTTTTGATTATTTTTTTAATGTTATCCTCAAAAACAACTCAAATAGTGAACGAATCCAAATGAAATATAATTCAATGTTTGGTAAACTATAATCTTGAAAAACATCGGAAGTTGCTATGTTATATAAATGTGGATTAACTTACGACAATATTTAAATTGATAAAATTTATAGAATATGAAGGAATTTGTTTCCTAAATAAATGCTTAAAAAGATAGTAGCAACTAGGTGCAGCATAATCAAAAAGCAGTGGATTTTTATAAGCGTAATATAGAAGATGGGATCTACGTTATAGAATTACGTGCTTGTGGTAACGTCTTGTATAAAACTATAAACTTTCTGTTTTAAGTTATCATCACTTATGATATAATAATGTGTATACACAGAAAGTGAATAGTTAAAAAAAATGTTATTTTATAAGCTAAGGAATCAAATAACGATGAAGTATCGGATCATAACCGAATTTTCAAACACTCAAATTTTTAAATTCAACCCAATAAATTCATAAATCTTCTTTCTGTAGAAAAGTTTATTATAATATATGTACAAAGATCATTTGTCCATTAGTTTTATATATGATCAAAGATTCCAAGAAGAGAGAAATTCACCAAAAATTACATCCTACAAGTGAGCTACGGTTCTAATTCGTATGCATTCTACATGATTCCAAAAAAAGTGCTTTGTCGCTTAGTCGACTTATTTACCTTAGCACCAGCACCACCCTGTAAATATCGTATTTATTGAAAGAAATAAAAATCATATTAGAAAGCTGTAATTATAGTGCTGCATTAAAAGCTTACTTACTTATATTCTAAGTTTTCAGTACTTATATTCTAAGTTTTTAGAAAATTTAATAAAATTAAATGTGTGTGTTAATAATGATGAATTTGTAGTGTATGATGTTAATGATGGAGAACCTAATTGAATTTTCCAAACACTTAAATCCTACAACACATGTAAAAATCATCGTTCTTATTTCAATAGAGAAATTTATAACAATACCAAAAAGATCATTTGACTATTTGTTGTAATTGCTGTCAAAGATCACAAAAAGAGAGTAAATTTCGAAAAATATCTTCCTAAAATGAGCTACAGATCTAAGTCTTTCGCATTCTACTTGACTAAGTATAAGTGCTTGTCACTAATGGGTCTAATTATTTACCTTAGCACCAGCACCACCCTGTAAATATCGCATTTAATGTAAGAAATAAACAACATATTAGAAAGCTGAAGGTTCAGTGCCGCATTAAAAGCTTAAACTTAACATCTTAATATTTGGAAATAATCATAAAATTAAAATTTTGTAAATAGTGAGTTATAATGGATTTTGTAGTATGAGATGTTAATAATGGGAAGTATATTTGTACTGAAAAAAAGAAAACCTGAATCAACCCTGGCATTTCAATAAATCAAGATTTGCAAAGCTGGAGGTAATCGCTTGATATTAAAATAAACTTCTTTAAAATTCATAACTTTGGCTTAAGCTCTAGTGGGATTTTCATAAAACAAATGTTATTGACAGTTTTCACAGGCGAGCAAGGAAAGCTTATGTACGCGCGCTCCAAACATTTCTCACCTTATTTCTCTTTGGGGTTTGGATATATTAAATATAAAAATTTAGACAAACTAACAATACATAAAGTTTATTTATAAAATTAATTTATAATTAAAGTAAATAATTCGTCAGGGATCGATGTGATGGAAATAAATGTTTGAACAGAATTCATGCGTGAAACTAAATCACTTCTTTCCGATAGCCCAATCAGCTTTCTCTGCTTTCTTGGCCTGTAGGGACACGATGTACAACTGTACTAAGCTGTTACACTATTATCTAATGCCGTTTACCTTTAAATAGGTAAATTGGAATGATTCTTCTGGTTCTTTAGATATGTTAGTCAACATTTTCCACTATTTAGACATTTTTTATGTAATAAAGAAAAGGTACAATAACAAATTAACATACAAACATAGATGTTTTGTTTCTAGGATGGTGAATGAAATTATTAGAACAGACATTAATAATTATTACAATAGTATTGTAATAGAATATTTAGAACAGTTAATTTTGATGATGTTAGATTTTCATATTTTATTGATTTTAATATATTAAATTTTGAAAAAAGCTTATTGAATTACGAATTTATCATTAGAAAGAATACCAATTAATTCATATTAAATAAATATTTTGTAAGTTTAATTAATAAATAAGTAATTTTGTATTGTGTATTACGAGTATATAGACGCTTACCTCTTTGTCTTCTTCTTCAAGGGTGAATTCCTTCTTTTTGACGACCTTCAATTGGTTACGGAAGTTGAATTCGGCTGCCTTCTTTTGGAGCTTGGCGAATTTGTTCTCATATTTGGACACCTTCTTGAGTGTTGGTTTGACGCTGAAAATAATATAATTACTAATAAAGTAACGACCAAAAACTCACCTAGTGGTACCCCCAATTTGATGTACATAACTAAATTTCCTCGCAAACTGTTTATTGAATTCATTTCCATATATGACTTGTTTATTTCTCTAATCTATCAAATTATGTATGTTAACATAAATTTAATATTATTTATTCATAATGCTTTATTCAGTTATACTATTCCGCATAGCCGTAATGAGAAACTCAATATCGCTCCCCTTGAATAGATTTACTGTATCTATTCATCCTTATAGTTAATTACATTTGATTTTGATTTAACTAATATTTTAACTGATTTTTTATGAAAATATGCACAATACTTACAATTTGCCTCTGAGGTCATTGACTTGAGAGTTCAGGTCAGCGATCTGATAAAATAAATGGTGTGAGAATAGAATATTTATGTTGTGTCCAAGAACATCACATTTCTAAAGCTCTATGCAAGTTTGAAACGAAAAATTACAGTACAAATAAGTATGTAAGGATATAGGATAAGATTTTTTATTAATATAAAATTTTACCAGATAAAGGAGTTTCCACTAGAATTATTATTATAGTGAAGTTAAAAATCTTAAAGTAAAAGCTATAAAATTATATACATGCAATAATAAGAAAGTAAAACACTGAAAGCTTTAAAATATCGATTAAGTAAGCTTTAAAGTAAGCAATTAGTTATCCATTAACCATTGCTTTGAAAGAGATTAATACAAACGAAGCACAGAATAAGATAGATAGAGAGCTGAGCGTAGATTAGGCAGGGTTATTTGCGAGCTGTAGAACAGTTTTGGTAACTGTTTGTCCTTAAGAAACATCTTCAATCGCTGCTGAATCCAGGTTGAGTTACATGACTATATTGCTCTTCCTCTAAAAGGTATCTTACATCTGTAACCATTAATGTGTATTTTTGTCCGTGCAAATCTATCTCTGTGCCCCGTGTTGGTTGCTGGTCATTTGCAGCACCTAGTTGCCTACACATACGGAAGTGTGCAGAATATCTTACAAGTGCAAACACATAGCGCTAATATTCTACCTCTTCGATGTCTTAAACGAAAAGATCTCTCAACACATCTTGAAATAGAAACATAATCAGGAAATAATAGAAGAATATAGAAGTTGTTACGAATCACATCAGTTGTATTATAAATTTCTTTGTTTTATTCAAAATTATGAAAAAGTATTTAATTTTAGTTTGAGATCAAGTTTTCATTTTATGTCGTTTGTTGATCATTTTTGTGTTTTTGTTTGCTTAATAAATATCGACAATCGAAGTTGTAATATATTGAGCGCGAATTGATACTTATTTCTTCGTTATACAATGATCAATTCACCACACATACTACTGAGAACTTCGTCGCTGTGTATATTGCAGAGTGACGGTGCAAAATCGATCGAACTGAACATGTTGTATATGGCTATGTAATATGTGGTGTTTTTGACTAAGTGAAAGAATACTCATTCCACTACGCCATTTCAATGGAGAGCATGTATCCGAGTGAGGGCGCCACTATCTTGGACTCGACAGGATAGGGAAGGATTTCATCGACCACAGCATGGCACTTTCAATTTGAACACTCGATGAGCAATTAATATTCGTATGTCACAAATGGTAAGAAGTCACATATCACTTAACTCGCAAACAGTTCGCGTGGAGTATAACGGCACATACATGAATTGTTGGAGATTTGGAACAAGAAGTTTGACTTACACTATGCACTTGCGTGTGCCAATAAAGGAACCCGTCCATCGTTCCAATTAAATATATCGATTCTCTACTAATTGGTATCATAAAAAGAGAAAATTCAGTAAGGCCACTAAGCTCGCCACACATGAAGCGTCACACGGTCAAATGCAGCGACGGTTGGTAGGTACTCGATCCATCGTTATCGAATATATTAAAGTGCCATACTATAAGGGATTTATTAATTGGGATTTTAAAGCTTTTCGCTAATGATTAATAGTCTATGTCATGCGGTAGCCGAAGCTTACGAGTCTACGCTGTGACCGCGCAACTCTACTAGTAGAAGGTACTCGCATAAGCTTGTCGCCATAACCGATAAAGCCTATACACCAACGGTATGAGAGACATTTACATGAAACGAGGATATGAAATCGTTAATGTTTCAATGAATATTAAGCAAGCATGCAATTCGAATCCATCAGTGGCATATGATTGCAGTGTTTGTTACGCCGATGGCTTTACTGGCGTTAGTGTAGTTAATCGTGTAAGCTCCATGTCGGACGACGCCACCTTCGAACGCGGTAGATCGATTTTGCACCGCACGCTTACCGCGGCTGATAGCCCCGGCGAAGTCCGCGCGACAACCCTCTACTACGCACAGGCACACCTGCTCTACGAGTACACCACTAACCCGCGCCTCGACCGTTATTTACAATCCAACAGCAAACAACCGAAAACTTACAAAGCATTATATCAAAGTGTCAACACGAACTGTCACACGCGCACGTTTGTTACAGAATCGATGACTGTGATATTCACAATGGTCATAATGTATTGGTCAATACCTCATAATCTCTTTTCCTGACTTCATGTTCCAAATCCCACTTCTGGCCCTCACACACATACATGCGGTCATAATACTCCTGTATTATTGTCTTGAGCATTGCTATAGAAAAAGGAAAGATAGATTATTTAGCCGGCATAATGAGCATGGGCATCTGTGTGAGTGGCCTGCGTTTGTCGACGAAGCGACGTGTGCATGTGTCTGTGAGCCGTACAACTATCATGTCATGTCGTAACAACTAAATCAGAATCAACTCATATCACGTCATACGCATTCCCAATCCTAATATGCATTTTACCTCCATTTTCCTAATTGAGATAGCTCGTTCTAGTTCATATTTATCCCCTTCTAGGTTGTATATTCTGTGCCAGTACATTTGACATATCGTCTGCAGTTCCGCTAAAGAAAAACAATCACATTTTAAAGTATAAAAAATTTTGAACGTAGCGCAGTCCGCCTCAGACTTGGTGGGTAGTGTGGATTCGTAAGGTATTGAAGCGTAAGCGAAGCTACATGATCATAAAGGTGGACTATTTGCAATCGTTTATGTCATTGTTAACTAAAACTCGATGAAAATATCTACAATAGTCGCAATACTAACGCACGTTGAGATATCGGAACGATGTTATATAGCGAATTAAATTTATTTGTTATCCACATTAGTTAAGGTATTTAGATATTAAATTTATTTTCAGCTCCCTAAATGGTATAATGAGTCTGCTGTGAAAACAAAATATTATCATTTACTAGTCACATTGTTGGCATCAACTACTCAAACGCAGAGCGTAATATAAATTGCTTCGCCCAAACCAGGTCACACCTCGAGCGCTTTGCGGGCCACTTCCATCTCGTGATCGTACTTCTCTTCTTCGAGCTTCGCGATACGCTGATGGTAACCGGTAATGATGCTCGTGAGAGCCGCTATAAAATCAACCAACATTACTCCCACTATCTCGATAAGCTTACCGTGTCCCTACCGCTAACTGTCATCGTCAACACTCGCGCATAAACAATGTAAAAAGTAAGTAAGAGTGTGAGTCTCAGAAAGAAATTTAAAACATTAAATAGGTATGTAAGTATTGGCATGTAAGTTCAACAACTACAGTTTAGAAGAGGAAGACGCGATAGAGAATAGAGACCATTCTAATGAATGGGCGGATTCAGTTACTCAAACAAATGTATAAAACACGCACTTCGACATCACAACGTTAAAAAAAAGAAGTTTTGTAAGTTTTGTAAGTTTGTCAAAGTATAGGGCCGCCGTAGTTCGTGTCGCTACCTCCATATCTTTCCTTTTAACGATGTATTCCAGATCGAATTTTTCATCTTCGAGCGTGGCAATGCGGGTGTGGTAGTCTTTGCAAACCCTCTTAAGAACATCTACAATCCGAATATAAAATTTACATGGGTTGCAGAATTATGTTGCATTAATAGTAACCTGTAAATCTGAATGTAGTGAGTGTATGATATTTTAGGGGCCGATGTTTACATACATTCTGGTGTAATGGGTTTCTGTATTTTTACAATATAATGTTCTACAACTATTTCGACTAATGTAAACAAATATAAAACTAAATCTAAAATTTACACTAAATAATTACCTTCGTTTGCATCGTCAGTGTTCTTGGGTTTACCGCACCTCTCCTCGATGATGCGCCTCCTCTCAGCTGCTTTACGTTCCTGTTCTTTCTTAAGTTCCTCGGCGGCTTTTTTACGCAGGAGCAACTGTAGTAATCACCTCTTATCAGATGCCGTTTTATTAAAAACTCATAATTTCAAACACAATTAAAGCCTAAAATCTAATATTTAGAATAATTCTTTAAAAAAGCAAAATGTTCATATTGAAACATTGACCAATAAGAAAAAGATATATTACACATAATAACACTTACCCTAAGTTTCTTCTTTCTCTCGGGGGTCATGAAACCTTTCTTCGCCTTCTTGGCCTTGGAGGCTTCCTCCATGCGCTTGCGCACCTCAGCGCGCTTGCGGTCGATTTCGGCCTGTTTGGCCTTCTTCGCCTGAATACATTGTATAGAATAGTGAAAGTATGTGCCATAATATAATGAACGTATTAAGCTTAAGAGCAATTACAATAATAATCAGAAAATATCAAATTTAGACTTAAATTAAAAAAAAACAACATTTTTAATATCCAACACAATATCAACAAAAGACAAGTATTTTAATTCAATTGAAGTTAAAATTAACAGTGTTTTGTTCATTAATTTAATGTATTGTATTTAAGGTGTAGTGTTAATGTCTTCTATCTTCTCTACTTTACCTCCTCGAGACGCTTTTTCTGTAAAAGATAAACAAAAAAAAAGATTAAAAATGAGCCGGCTATTAAAAAAATACTAGCAGTTAAGGCATTTCAGCCATAATCAAAAATGTGTTAAGTCTTTTATTATCATTAAATATGATCACTAATATTTAATATTGTGCAGTGTTTATTTAATTTGCTAATAAGTATAGCAGAATTACATAAGTTATATTCATATATTGTAAAGCTGTGTTTGCATTATTTAATTATCATAAAATATGTTATGTTTTAAAATAAGTAATTTTATTAATGTGAGATAAAGTGCAATTACAATAGCAGTGTTCTTAATTAAATTGGTTGTACAGTTCAGCGTAAAATAAATGCAATATTAGCTGTTATTTACGACATATACGTTTAAATATTATTTGTGTACATATTTCAGTTTTTTCTGTAAGCATTAATACGAAGATCATCGACTGTAAACTTACGATTGTCAATACAAAGTAAAGGCTCTGTAAAAATTCATTACCGAATTATGTAAATTTTATAAATCTTCCGCCAAACAGTCGCCAAACGTCGGCTTTTGTTAGACAAATAAAACAATCCTAAAAAGTGACTTTAACAACACGGAATTATTTTTATAATCCCTTTTGAAGTCTTATGGTACAAAATTTATTTGTAACTAATTTTATTGATATTTCTATAATAAATAATAATTGTGTTTTTTTCACTCCTTGTTTTTCTCTCGAGCATAATATGTTGTAAACCCTAAATGTGTTTGTAATGTAAGTGAATTAATAAGTTTGTTATTAATATTAGTTCCATACCTGTGTCTCAAGGAGAGAAAAAATTCAATACTGTTGAGTGTTTCCATCGTGCACGTTGAAGATGTCCAGATGTTTAGACGAAGACGAGCAATGAAACAGAAATAACAAAATATGTTAGAATTAGGTATGAAACAGTGTAAAATCTAATAATTTGACTACAATCACTTGTTATTATAGCTTAGACGGTGACATCTGATGAAAACGAATGAACGACACGTTTGGCTCAATTTGTAGTGACCATACTTGCTGCGCCAGCGGTCGCGGGTTCGAGTCCTGCTGGGGGCATTCATTTGTGTGATGAGCACGAATGTTTATACCCCAGTCATGGGTAGTACATATTTATAATATGTATTTAAAGTTATATATGTATAATGTATCAACTATTTGGTATCCATAACACAAGCCTCGTAGTTTACCATGGAACTAGATGGTGTTGTGTGTTAATGTCCTGACATATTCATAAATGAAAGATTTTTAGAAATTATTTACCACTTTTTAAATCAATAGTTTTTTTTATATATTATGGTGAAATCACGTTTCATAAAACGTTTAATGACATGTCATATGTACTTACGTAGGACTATCAGCATTATCAAAATATGCTTGAGAGGAAAGATTTATTATAGTTACACAAATTCGTAAATTATAGCTAAGTTCATTTTTCCTTACCTCACTTCATCATCCGCCATTGTGTATGTGCTGTTTGGGGTGTCCTGCAAAGTTAATTTTCTATTAATGTTAATATTTATTTTATTATTAATTAATTTCCTAATATCCAAAAAAAACTTAATCGATATTTATATTTGGAATTTCAAATACAATAAATTTAGTTTATTGTTATTTAATCATTATTATTATTAATTATAACAGTGCCATGACTAAAAAACAGGCAATGTACAGCCTAAACAAAAAAACTATTGGAAAGGATTAACACAGAACTAAAAAAAACTTTTCTAAAGTTAAGTCTTATAGTTTATCAAAAGTGTTATATCAAATCATTAAATCTTATGAAATAAAGAGCTTGAAAGCTTGAAATTACATGTTTAAATCTTGATATTAAGAACGATTGCTGGTTTAACAACATTAACACACCTTGTAGCGCTAAATATATTTCTATGCTAAAACCCGTTCTCGTTCCCAAAATTATTGAATACCACTCTATTACACGAAACTATTTGGACGATCGCCAAATACAACGAAATTGAATACTGATATTCGATATACTTAAAAAATGCAGTCTTTCCACGCATCTAATTTTAAATGATCAATATTAATATTGCATTACACAAGTGCGCAAGCCTGTGCAGTCAAAACTAAATTTAGGTCAGGGTGTAGCTATAAGTTATAAATGGATGGTGTAAAGTGTGTTTTTACGTAAACATGTCCGTAATTAGTGGGTGTAGGTTCGCATGTGTTCGGGCGCGTTCGTCGGCGCTCGGAGGACTGAAATAGGCTCGCGCACTCTCGCGCAGCCAAATTTGGTCGCAATCGCTCTACTTCGGTTACAGACGTTTCAGGCGTGAAGCTTTGCACACGTGTAATAGGATATGCTTTTACTGTACAGATTTAAAATAGTAACAATATAATATTATTTCGATATTATTATATAAATGGTATTATTAAATATATTCCAGGTGAAAAGTATATTAGAAATATTGAAATAATCTGGATTAAAATAAATGAGAAATTTGAATGAAGTTCGTACAATTAACTTATATGACGTATATAAATTTATGTACATATAAAATTATGATTTATGATCACGTAATTATTATTATATATCAATAAAAATATTATTAAAGTTTTCATGAAATAATTTTATATAAGCCATAGATAGTTATTATGTGAAAAACAAAGTCTTCAAATAGTATTTCCAAAAAGTTAAGAAGAATTGTGAAATAAAATTTATTCAAGTGTTAAAAAATATTTGAAAGCTTTAAGATTATAAAACCAATTTTCATGAGAATATAATAAATATTTTAGTAAAATCAAGTTTCATAAAATTTTAAAGCCAAGTAATGGAACATCCGGTTCCAGCTTAGGCTTATATTGGCTCTATAATTGTCTATGACGTCACGCGTATCAATTCTATGTAGATCGACACTTAATCTGGAATGCATTTAGTTGTAGGACACTCCGGAGCGCTACTAACTTTCCTCCTGGGAAAATTCACGAACTAATGGTATCACACACACGGCGATGCATCACGGCGATCCATTATAAAGGACGTTGATATATCACTTCACTGATACTCACAGCGATATCGCGTTGGTTTTAGTTAGTAAAAATTTCTCGGACTCACCTACGGCAAAGAAAAAGAAGATGGCCCTATAGATGGTTCAGCCAACACGAGCCACAGTTGCTGACTGGCGGTCGGCGGGCGGCAAGGTGCGGCGGGTAGTGCGTGGGCGCAGACCCCCCGCGACCCCCCGACCGCACCCCCCTCGACTACCACCCCCCATCCACTCCCCCTCGCATAGACATTTTTAGAGCAGTGTCGTTTTGACACCAACACCGAAATAACACAGTATGTAAGCTCCATATGAAATTGAGATACCGCGTAAACACTATACATACATACTCGTACATTTCAGGTTACAGGCTACTACTTATGTTTTAATTACTTATGGTAAAATGGGATTTTAAATAAATATATAGAATAAATAAATATGTTGGGACATTAACACACAGCACCATCTAATTCCATGGTAAGCTACGAGGCTTGTATTATGGATACCAGATAGTTGGTACACTACACATATATAACTTTAAATACAAACATATTATAAATATAAACATCACATACATTAGAGTAACCAGATATTGACACAATACGCGTGAAAAGAGAAGAATGATACTAATAAGTAAAATTTTCAGGTACACCGTAGAAAAAAAGCTCATCAAATACTTTGAACTATAATATAATAAACAATAAAATAAATTTTATAAAAAGGTTTAAATTGAAATAACACTATTTCCGCAAGCTCTACCGAAATGTAAACGAAACTTCAAATTCAACAAATTGAGCTGAACTCCGAAATTGTCCCTTGAGTGCTAACTGTTACCAAGAAAAGTGTTTACTTAGGACGTATATAATACTCGTGTTACTTGAAATTGTGAAAGCTTTTCTTATTTTATAAGGTCATCATGCTTAACATTCAATGCCTATCTATAAAATATCTATTTTATAATTGTAAATAAGTAAAAGCGTTATTTATTTATTTTACAAATTAAAAAAAAATATATATAAAAAGGCAATATTTCCATTGTATTCTCTTCCGGCGTATGTATATCAATTTACCGTATTCACTGAATAATTTATGAAACCCAAATCTAAACTGGCCAATACATATGTATATTAAAAATAAATCCTAAGGCTTGTCCGCTTTTTTTGCACGTAAGAGTATATATACTCTTAACATATTATAAGTTGTAAATAAGAGGAATTGTGAGGCTTCATTATTTATTGTAATATTAGCTGGGAAAGCAATAGGTACAAATATGTAAATAGAAAATAAAAATAACATATTGTTATATGTTCTTTGAAAATATAATATTTACGTTAGTAAAATATTACTAACATAAATATTATATTTTCAAAGAAAATATTTTTTCTGTTGTTTATTTTCTCTTTGAATTACATTATTTAAAGAGAAATCGTAAATATAAATAAAAAAGTACATAAAATCTTCTAAAAGTGGAAAACGTTGAATCCATGTGCCATCCTTTTTAAGTTACATGAAAACACATGGTCGTGACAGGTATACGTAGTCACGTACAGCAACATGACTTTACTACTACAGTGCTTCAAATTTACGAGTCAGACGTTTTTATGGAGAACTATAGACACTATTTCTTCAAAGTCAAAGTATAAATCAAAAGAAAATCTATATATAAATATATATATAGAAAATATATAAGAAAATCTATATATATATATAAATATCTTTTGAGGGGTAGACAAGGGTGGCGTAGTACCCCATTCTTATGTTTGTTATTTTGTAATAGTATCGCAGTCATGATATGTAAATCAAGGACTTATTCAGTTTTAAATATTGCACTTTTATATTTTTATAAACCGATTGAAATAAAACAAATACAACTAAACAAACACTAAATCTTAAGTGCAGCTTACTGCAATATATTAATGAAAACCACACCCAAATCAATAAATTATGAGATTAACGCGCACAGACATACAAACAAAAATTCTAAAAATCATTGTTTTGGGTTCTATTGCATTAAGACCAAGACCCCCAATAATATTTTCTCTTAAATATCTTCCATGTAACCAGTTACACTTTTATTATATGTATAGATAATATTTATTACACATAAAAATGCCGCATCTTAATTTGTTTAAGCAAGTAATATGATTTTTTTATTCTAACATATTTAGCTATTTTCTACCAATATTTTCTATCCTTGAACCAAATATTTACACTATGCTGAAAAAAGACAAGAGAAGAGTTTGTGAATTGAGTATAGGGCCAGATTTGAACCACTGATATATATATATATATATATATATATATATATATATATATATATATATATATATATATTTTAAAAACTCTATTGTACGTCCAACAATAGAATATTTGTTCATTTATTATTTGGCATTTTTTATAGTAATTTGTAAGTTTCTTATTTGGAAGATTTTTTTAGATGTTATTCATTATTTTATTATTACCCCTATATTATTATATTACCAGTCTATCGATGATATATTACAGTGTAAAACATTAAAACTAAAACTTGTATAGGTATTATAGGTTTAGATGATCGTTTGGCACAATTTACACTATTCTTACGTATTTGAATTCTTCGGGAAAATAATTGTATTGGCCTTGCAGTTATCTTGGTACTACTTATAAAATAATTTTAGTAAATTTACACATAATTTTTAAAAGATTATATCGTTATCAAACTTTGTAACCTATAAATAAGTTAAGATTTTCAATATACTAATTGTACAAAGTGATCGCATATTATTATTTACACATTATTGTTATTTACAGTCTCTATGACTAATAATCTTTAAAAAATCTTGTTTGTGGGCTAATAATCTCCAGAAAGCCTGAATAACTTTTAACATAATATAAGGTCTTTATATAACACAAGTACGGGAGTGATAACTAATTAAAACACGAGCAAAGTATAAAAATAAAGTGTAACTTCTCACAAATGATGATAGTGGAAAAAGCCAAAAAGATTTTTTAAGTTAATATGACCATGACCATGATATACATAAATGTAAATAACATGTAGATCCCTTTAATAACTCGCAAGAAAAATATGTACAGTTCAAGTACAAAACACAATATTATAAACATGGTTTACAGGAGAATACTTATTACGTATATCATTAATATTTTTAATGCATTGGCAATGCTCCATTTAAACTAACATAACAATACTTACTTATTCATTTATTCTATAGATGAAACTAAATAACAGTTAAGTCAAGATGTTATAATATCTATACAAGTTTTTGTCGCGGCTTACGCTGTTCGTAGTAGCCTGTGTGTACGTCATGGATACGAGTATATGCTTCCTCTCCTGCCATGTTTTAGAAAAAGTAATAAACCCACTCACATCGATCAAAAAAGTACAAGTAAAATACTTTTCGATCGACGCTCACTTACAAATTTTCACATATATAACGTTAGTATAATAGAACTACTCA